ATATATATATATATATACAATATTTTATGTATGAGGATGTTATAGCATGGTAGTTAACAGTGCTTTTTATATTACCTAAATAAAGGTTAAAGGTGAATTAAATTGTAAAATAGCCATGAATGTAATACATATTTTTATAAAAGTTTTCAAAGAGCAATAAATGATATATATTAAAGGATTCATAATACAATGCTAGCTGAAAAAAGCAATATACCATGTTATATAACTTTTGATTTAAAAATATATCTGAAAGCAATAGAAGGAAATATATTAAATGCATATAACTTTATATTTTTGGTACTGGGGATCAAATTCGGGTCCTTGAGCTTGTGAGGCAGGTGGCAGAACCAGTGAGCTAAATCCCCAACCCTAAATTTTTTATTATATTATTATTGTTATTTTTTGCTGTGCTTGAGATTGAAACCAGGGCCTTGTTCTTGAAATTGAGCATTATGTATTTGGCAAGTGCTTCAATATTGAGCCAAAGTTGCTTTAGTACCTTTTTATGTATTCTAAATTCTTAGTAATTGTGCTCCTTTAAAGTGACAAAAAAAAATCTTTTAAAAACTTAATATGCTGTGACAAATTTTGCCTTTAAGGAAGAAAATAGTATATGTATAACTTTTGTAGCAAATAAATATGTATAAAGATAATTGGCTTAAAAATTGCCATTGCTTTGAAGAATCAGCATAGCTATAGACATTTTTAGCTTTGATATGTTGTGGTCATAAAATAAGGACATTTACTGAATGGAATTTTCTTGGGTCAGGTGTTATTCTAGACTCTGGAACACAATAAGACCCATGTACTCATGAAGCTCACAGCATAATGGAAAAAACAAGTCACAACTCGGATGATTCAGTTCTATTAACTACAATAAAGAGAAGGGTGGAAGTACTGAGGAAGATCCAGAGAGAAGGTGTTTCTTAAGCTAAATTGGAAAGGAAGAATTTGAAGTTAATATGAAATCTCTCTAATATATCTTAACTTTCTTATATCTGAAATAGAAACTAGAGATTATGGTGATAAGTTCACTGAGATTTTGATTGAAACTAAAGATGGTGATTTTCAAAATCCTATATGTAATGTCTAATCTATATCTGAAAGCCAGCACTCTGTTAAATCAAGAAATTAATGAATGGGTTTCCAGGCAGAAGAAGCTACATGTGCAAAACAAAATATTTTGATGTAAGAGACATTTAAGGATTAGGTTAGAAAGGAAGCAGATTGTAAGTGACACAGAATCTTTTAAATCTAAAGTATGACTGATTGAAGAATGGTATGCAGAGGAGTTTGCTGCTTTATACAATCCTTATGGCTTTGTAGGTCATGCTTTGAACTAGTTATAAAACTGTTGCAATATTCCAGATAAAAATTAGTTGTGGTTTGACCATGGAATTGAGTGAGAGAAGCTTGATTCAGTAGCTGTTTAGGAAATACAACTGGCATACTTAGATTGTTGGTTAAATATGGAAGAAGGAATAGGGTAGAGGTTGCCTAAGTAAGTGATACAGCCATGAAGTAAAAAATGAATAAAGAACAGATCACTAGTTTAAAGGAGAGAGAATGAGATCAGTCTTTTACAAAACAAGTTTAAGGTTTCTGTGGACAGTTAAAAATGCAAATGTCTCTTTGGCAACTAAGCATATAGGACTGACCTTAACATAAGGATTTGGTTTGGAGGTACTTTAATAGTTGGAGACATGCAAAAAACTGTATAAATTGTGTTGTCCTTTGGAATGTAAAACATTCAAGAATTCCAAAAGTGGAAGTCTGTACTGTGGTTTTCCTTTGTGATTTTAAATGACATTTTAATGTGAAATTTATATAAAACATATAGATTTTTATTAATGAAGTAATTTTTAAAAACACTTCTACAAAAAATAAAGCAAAATTTCATTACAAATTAAAGAATACCATTAGTTAATATACTATGTACCATAATCTTAAAAGAATGGCCAAATTGTTAGAGTACAAGTTATAGATAAAAAAGACTCATTTTAGCTTTTTTTAACATCCACTTAATCTGAAAGTCTGAACCCTTTTCCCTAACTGAACTGACTTTCACACTCAGAAAATATCCCACAGGACTGGGCCCTCCTTAGCCATCTTTCTTCTAATCTATGTAAATTCCTATGGTGGCTATCTTATGTAAAATACAGTCAACATTTATTGTACACAGTTAAATTATTAAATGTTAAAGAAAACATGACAAAAAAGAAGACAGAGAAATAGGAAGTAGGAAGTTCTAATAATTCCCCAAATTATATACTCTGTGCTTTCAAAAATATTTCAATATATATGCTAATTTATTTCATTTATATAGCTAGGTCCTCTTAGTTCATTGAAAAGAAAGTTCTGCGCTATTATCTGTTTGTTTCTTTTTTGTAAGTCTTTTTTGTCTGTGACTTGTGCTCTAACCTTTTGACCATTCTTTTAAGATTATGTTACATAGTGTGTAACTAATGTTATTGTTTAATTAATTTGTTATGAAATTTTGCTGTACTTTTTTATAGAAGTAAGATTTTAAAAACATATTGTCTTTATTACCTATTTGTATTACATTGAAATAAAAAGATTTTAGCATGTGAAATGCTGAAATAATTTTAACATATTTACTGGACTGAGATTCCAAAGTCCAAGGATTATAATACTTGGAATAACCACAGTTGTAGGCTAGAACTTGTCAGTCATTCTTATTTCATGTCTTTGACTTGCCAAAATAAAGAAACATATATTATACTTGCCAAGATAATTACATTTTAAAAGATTTGTATATATTTAATAGCTTGTATACTATTTAATATGAAAGCGACAATTAAGTTTCAGTTTTTTCATATTTTAACCAGACATAATCCTTATACTGATCTTCATTTTAGAACCAGTAAATCTTTAGAATAACTAGAAAACCAATATAATCTTTCCTTCAGACTTATGTGATTAGAGTCTCTTATCCTTTACCTTTAGTGCTTTTACAGCATCTCCTGAAAACCAATAATAGTAATTTCATTTATTTTTAACTTATTTATAATACATGCAGAATCATAAAATTTTAAGAAAATAGTATTCTTGTTGAAGCTCTTTCTTTATCATATTTTAAAGATATAAAACCAAAAACTAAAAAGTAAACTGTGGTCAGCTCATCTTTGGAGTTTTATCACCGTTAGACTAGATAGTTATACTAGCATTAATTTTGGTTTCTTTTTCAGTATCATAACCTTGGCATTTCCCATCATTTACTTCAAAATCATATATGCAATGAAAGTTTATGCTGTAGCATATCAATATTTTAAATAATTATTAATATTAGTAGTTGAGTGAAATTAATTTCTTGGTCACTAATAATACTCAAATATCTTACTTCAGTATTTAATACCAGGAAATAATTCATATATCATTTAGACAACTAACGTTAATGCATTTAAAAATAAACAAGCCAGTACTAAGGCTAAAATAAAAACCTTCTCAAGTAAAAATCAGAGGCAGGAGAAAGGCAATAAAGAGAGGATAAAAAGGGAACATGGCCAACAAGACTAATATTTGCATTTCACAATGATGACTTCGGACCATTTTCAGGGAGGACAGGAAGCTACAAAACAAACCAATCTAGACTTAACCTATTCCTTAAATATATTTTGGCTTTTGCTAATAAACCAAGTTAATACTGAGACAGAATATTCAAAACAAAAAGTAGGATATTAATAGCCTCTCATCTTCATTAGATGAGGCTTCATCTAATGCAGAATATGACCATAGACGTATTATTTTG